TGTAATCCTGTCTCTCATTAAGGGAAAGAAATTCAGGAGCTGGAACCAATATATATGAAGCTTCGAACATCCTTGCATCCTTAAAAGGATGTTGCTAAATACTCCTTGAGAACTGAGACGCTTTAAAGTAATTCATACTAAGCATGAGAATCGGCCAGCTCTAATGACTTCTTCCTAGGTAGGCATTTTTTTTGTTTTGTTTTTTTCCCTCAGAGATTCAATTGGAAAAAAGACGTCTAGGCCAGGAACTCCCAAACTCTGCTGCTGCACGTTCGAATCACCTGAGGAGCTTTTAAAACTCCTGAAACACAGATGTTAGTTCGTGAAGCTCAATAGATGCTTTCCACGTGTAGCAAACAATCGTTCACAGCCTGGGATAATTTGGCTGCGGAAAAAGGTCTGCTCATTTCCCACCGTGGCCACTAGATGCCGCTACGGCCTGAAGACTGGAGAGGTTTTTTAGTACTTTTCCACCAGAGGAAGGGGCATCGGCACTGATGTTTCCTGATCACAAAGGAGCAAAGAGAACTGACTTTGGGTTAGCTTGTTTTGAGAGAACAATACCTTGGAAGAGAGAGTTTGGATAGTGAATGATGAAATAGATTAAATGTCTGCTGAATTGAATACTAAAATAGTGAGGTAATTTTTCAATAATTTTATCTTCACTGTCTACCCATTTACGTAGGTTCCTTAGTTAAAAAAAAAAAAAAAAAAGATGCTTTGATGGAATGCTGGCATTTTGGAGATGGAAAATACCAGGATATAAAGTAATGATAGGGGAAGGCAATTGTTTGCTGCCCCTTGAGATTTTCAGGACTCTGTGCTCTGGTCCTTTTGTTAGGGCCATTCTTTCTTTCTTTTTCTTTTTTTTTGAGACGGAGTCCCACTCTGTTGCCCAGGCTGGAGTGCAGTGGCATGATCTCAGCTCACTGCAACCTCCGCCTCCTGGGTTCAAGCAAATCTCCTGCCTCAGCCTCCCAAGTAGCTGGGATTACAAGCGTGCGCCACCCAGTCCGGCGAATTTTTGTATTTTTCGTAGAGACGAGGTTTCACCATGTGGCCAGGCTGGTCTCCAACTCCTGACCTCAGGTGATCCACCCACCTTGGCCTCCAAAAGTGCTGGCATTACAGGCGTGAGCCGCCGCGCCCAGCCAGGCCCATTTTTTCTGTGCCTGGTTATCCTCTTCGCTTCTAGGTCTGAGCTTTTAGAAGTCTTCCTTGATTCCCTGCTACAAAGCGTATACTGCTGTCTTCTTACAGCCTATTCACTAGCTGATCTGTCCAAGCTCCTCGTAGTCCAGGACCTTGTTCTGCTCACCCGTCTACCCCTACAGCCTACCTAGCAGAGTTTCCCAGGCAGATAATAATAGCTCTTCCGTACAATCAAAGGTCATAATAGGTCTTTTGTAAAATATATGAAAGAATGGCTTAGGGAATGTGGGCAAACACTTTGTGAGCTAGATTTGGTGGTGAAAAGTATATGAGAAAAAGGCATTATTTTAAAATAGTTTCTGATGACATTGGATTCAATTCAGAAAACTAAGAAGGAAAACTGGATAGAACGCCAGTTTTAAGAATAGAATTTCATAGCTTCATCAATACTTGGGGCTGGAGAAGATTTGGAGGTCATCCATTTAAGCCTCTGCTACGATGTCTTAGATTCCATTTCAGCGTTCCATGCCAAGCAGTTGCCTGGGCTTTGATTGGAGCCATCCAATCAGTGCTTCCAAAGCAGACAATTCTGCCAAACTGTGGTGACTATTTGAAAGTGATTCCTTGGATTGAGCACAAATTTTCCCTCCAGGGCTTCTATCCATTGGTCTTAATTCTTGCCTCTGCAGCTCCACAAGTAAAGACTATGACATCTGCCCATGGGCTTCCAAAACGATGAGATCATGGTCTCCTCCTAGCTAAGTGTCCTCAGCTACTTTGCAATAATAATATTTAAATATTTAATGTAATAATAGTGATAAGTAATAATAATCTTTTAGGTTTCCTTGCCCTCTTTCAAATACATTTCATAAATGATTCAATACTATTTCTTATGATTTGCGAGAAAACAAATCAGTCTTCTGGGTGACCAATAAAAAGTGATTCCTCCCTGATGCCACAGGGTTTTTGTTTTTGTTCTGAGACAGAGTCTTGCCCTGTTGCCCAGGCTGAAGTGCAGCGGTGTGATCTCGGCTCACTGCAATTTACGCCTCCCAGGTTCAAGTGATTCTCCTGCCTCAGCTTCCCGAGTAACTGGAACTACAGGCACCTGCCACCACATCCAGCTAATTTTGTATTTTTAGTAGAGATGGGGTTTCAGCATGTTGATCAGGCTGGTCTCGAACTCCTGACCTCAAGTGATCCACCTGCCTTGGCCTCCCAAAGTTCTGGGATTACAGGAGTGAGTCACGGCTCCCAGCCTTACAATTTGTTAATAAGCTGAAGACAGATTAGTGACTATCAAATATCATTGACATAGCTATTTCTACAAACACCTTCACTTATTAAAACATATCTGATTAAGAACTGGCCGGGCATGGTGGCTCAAGCCTGTAATCCCAGCACTTTGGGAGGCCGAGGTGGGCGGATCACGAGGTCAGGAGATGGAGACCATCCTGGCTAACACGGTGAAACCCCGTCTCTACTAAAAATACAAAAAATCAGCCAGGCATGGTGGCGGGCACCTGTAGTCCCAGCTACTCGGGAGGCTGAGGCAGGAGAATGGCGTGAACCCGGGAGGCGGAGGTTGCAGTGAACCGAGACTGCACCATTGCACTCCAGCCTGGGTGACAGAGCGAGACTCTGTCTCAAAAAAAAAAAAAAGAAAAAAAAAAAGAACTACCTTTACCCTCTTCTCTTCCTCAGATGGAGCAAATTAAAGCACTTTTCAGATGAAGCAAGCCTAATTGGCTTTCTGGGTAGATGAGAAACTCACCAATTCTCTATAAAGTGGGTCCAAGGTGAACCACAGAGCCACAGCACACCTCTTTCCCTTGGTGACTGCCTTCACCCCATGAGGGTTCTCTCCTCCAGATGAGAAGCTGATCATGCGCCCACATTTTGGTTTTATAGAAGCCTGAGAAAGAAAGCGAAAATTAGACCTTCAGCTGCTGTATCATAAACATTTCCACAACTCCTGCCTCTCTGGTCTGTGAGATTATGTGAGTTAAGGACTGAAGCGAAGAATAAAGGAATCCTGTGATTGAAGATGATGTAAATGATCTCAGTTTTCTCACCTGTAAAACAAAGGTAAGCTCAAAACAATATATACCTCAGAAAATAAACAAAATTTCAAGTAAAACGGGTAGCAAAGTCCACATACATAGTAATCATTCAATAGATGCTATATGATAGCCTGCAAATTCAAAGAAGGCAAAGTTTTTCTCTCATAATTCATTTCTATGGCTTTCGCACTAGCAAAGCATCTGGATACAAGGTAGGTGTCCACTCCATACTTGTGGAATTAACAAACAAACAAACAGAACATCTGCAGTGCTGCCAAAGTTCTGTTACCGATCTAGGTGGGGGTTACATGAGTGTATCTGCTTTCTAATTTTTAAATTGTACATTCATGGTTTATGTGCTTTTCATAATATAGACATTTTTAAAAGTCAAAAGTCATAATTCTGTATGATATTTCCTTTACACTATTGTTTCCCAGTGATCTTTTAGGCATTGTTTGAACATCTCCAGTGGTGAGAACCTGACACCCCTTGGTGGTGTGGCCTATTCACCATCACCTTTAAGTGTTTTAAGATTGGCACAGTCCTTCGCAGCTTATACACTGCTCAGGTGGAGCTGTCTACAGCGTTTAGGTAGAAGAGCGTAGTGAGAGAAAAAGAAATACTGCTGGGCTCACTGAGCCAGGGTAGAACATCAAACAAGCTGCCTCTTCAAGTTGAGTGAGCTTAAGCAGCTGTATATTACAGGCCTTGCTTCTGTGTTTAAAGAAGTGTCTCAGGTGAGTCGGGTCCATTTTGTCTTTCTCGGGAAATACAGAAACTTTATTCATTCCTCTGTATAGCTCAGAAAAATCAAGTAAAACCAAAAAGGCGGCGCTAGCCATTTTACTAGGTGAGAACATGGACTGGTTCTAACTGGCCATTTTCTGAATTGACTTGAGTTGACACATGCCCATAAATCTTTGGCTTCCTTCTGCATAAAATCAGCTGGCCGGTTTCTCACTGCTAGCTTCAGGAAAAACATTAGAAACATTGCCTAAAGTCCTTGATCGCTACATAACATAGGTACTCCCGGACTGCGTGACTCCATATGGAAGGTCAGAGGTAGGAGGAGGAGTCAGAAAGCCAGAGGGACAGGTGGGCGCATATGTGCTTATGTGTGCACGTGTGTGTGTTTGTGTCTGTGTGAGTCTGCGTGTGTGTCTCTATGTGACTTGTGTGTGAGTGTTAAAGGGAAGAGCAGAAAAAAAGCAGTTTCTCGTTACTCTCATATTCACAATAACTGAAGATTTGTCTTTGCTGGAATTGCTTTTCCTAAACAGCTTTATCAAGGCAACTTTTCTGATGTAAATCTAGAGAGTTCACGAGTTAGTGGTATCCTCAGTATCAATCTGATTCTGTTTTTCTGGAGAAGGAATTTGTACATTTCCACAAGAAACAGCAAAATAAGCGAAATGTAAAACATATGAAGTAAGATAGAAAAGCCACCTGAGTAAGTGGCCTTGGGATGTTTGAATTTCAGGTTTTCTGGGCTGCCCACTCCCTAGTGCTGGTCAGGACTCCCTCAAATATGCATTTGCCAATGCTTCTGTGTGATTACCAAGTCTTGGTAACATCTTTTAAGGTTAAAGAAAGGGTGTGGGGACAAATTAGTATTTTCTCTCTTCTGGAATTGAAAGTACTTTTAAACATGAATAACTTTGGGAAAGTTTAGGAAAAGAAGCTGTGAACTGCATGAGGCAGTTGGAATTGATTACAGGTGTGGATTCACAAGGATCTCTAAGACCCATCTCATCACACAGCATACATCAACTGTTACATGTCAGGTATTTGGAGGAATAAACAAGTTTTAGTGAACCTGCTTCCATGTATGACATTGTTTCTACAGCAAAAATATGTTACGACGTTTAGATAAATTATTATAAACATACTTTTGTAACACAGTCCCGTTTATACTGAATTTAATTTTTCATGAAACGAATGGAACTCATTAAATTTTATCTTCTTTGAACCTGCATAGAGAAACCAACATCCTTGAATTCCCAGGTCTCATAAACAAATGCTGCTATTGAAAAGAACCCATGTATCTTCCAAGTATACTAAGCATAATTTAAAATAATCCTTTTGCTTTCCATCTAACTGATGATTGATTTAGAAAAGCATTTGTGCTGTAATTGTCTTTAATAAAAGTAAAATTTCAGCCACCTTTCAGATAATTATACAACTTCCAGATGTTTCCAAAGTAAAAGACTCAGAAGACTTTGCTTCCTTGTGTGGCCTCAAGTTATGCCATTTCTCTGCTCCATTTGTCCCTCCACAGTTAAAGGGAAACTAAAACAGAAAAATACCCATTTCTTGTTGTTACTGTTGTTGTTGTTACTGGTACTAGAATAAATTCCTGTGGGGAAGGAATAAGAACTGGCTTACATAAGAATTTTAGTTGTCTACATTATTCCCTAAAATGGCATTGTATGCATTAATATGATGTATAACTCATTTGAGGAAATAAATGTTCTCAAACAGGAACTTTCGGATTAAAAAATTGTTTAAATCAGTTTTACTTATTTTAGGGGAGGCTAGATTCAGGGTTTTAAAAAAATAGCTATAGATTTTAGTTAAAATTGTAGCACTCTAAAAGGAGAATATTATCTGCTTCCACATCTTTAAAAAGCAGAATTCCAGTGAACTTGACATTCAACAGTTAATGAAACAGGCATCCCCTGCTTTAAGCATCAAGCATTTCCAAATATGGCCACTAGATGGAGGAGAAGCGAAGAAATCTTTTCAACCACCTGTCTGACTTTCTTTGAAACTGCGAAATGCCAGGAGTTTTGTACCTCAGTTTCAGTGTTAGCAGAGACTAGAAATAAAATGCTTCCTACACACAAGCTTTCCCAGAAGTGAAAAAAAACTTCTGGATTTTAAACTCCAACACAGATTGTCAGTCCTGATTTAATTTATCAGATCATGGAGCATTAAATTACTCCCATATTAACATTTAAGCTTTTTACCCAAAAAGTGAGGCATCATGACTTTTTAAGATACATTACTGTATGAAGTTACATGAAATATTTTTTCTTAGTTATTACAATGTTTCTAGACAATTTTAACCAGAATCCTTATAGGAATCACCTTTAAACCCAGTAATACATACTTTTTGATATTATCTGCTTATACCACAGTACTGCGTCATGAATGACATATGTGTGTCATGAATGATAGATATGTTTCACTAATGAGAAAAGCATGTAAGCTAAGAGGGACAAGCATAAAATTCAAGAAAAGTTTAGAAATAGCTTCTATAATGCCAAAATTTTGAAGTTTATGACATACATGTCCTAACTACTTAGATTTTGTATGGTGGTAAAAGATACCTGGTTATCTATAATCTGCTTACTTCCTCAATTGGACATTTTTTTTATTATACTTTTAAGTTCTGGGGTACCTGTGCAGAATGTGCGGGTTTGTTACATAGTTATACAGGTGCCATGGTGGTTTGCTGCACCCATCAACCCGTCATCTACATTAGGTATTTCTCCTAATGCTATCCCCCTGACAGGCCCTGGTGTGTGATGTTCCCCTCCGTGTGCCCACATGTTCTCATTGTTCGACTCCCACTTATGGGTGAGAACATGCGGTGTTTGGTTTTCTGTTCCTGTGTTTGTTTGCTGAGAATGATGGTTTCCAGCTTCATCCATGTCCCTGAAAAGGACATGGACTCTGTTGTGGGAAGTCAGAGACCCCGAACAGAGGGACCGGCGTCAAAATCGAGAGAATGAACAAGCCTTCATCGCCATGGTACATTTAAATAAAAAGAAAGGGAGAGATGTTGCGGGAAGTCAGGGACCCCAAATGGGGAGGGACCAGCTGAAGCCGTGGCAGAAGAACAAAAATTGTGAAGATTTCATGGACATTTATTAGTTCCCCAAATTAATACTTTTATAATTTCTTATGCCTATCTTTACTGTAATCTCAGAACATAAACTGTGAAGATTTCATGGACACTTATCACTTCCCCAGTCGATACCCTTGTGTTTTCCTATGCCTGTCTTTACTTTAATCTCTTAATCCTGTCATCTTCTTCATAAACTGAGGAGGATGAATGTAGCCTCAGGACCGTGTAATTGTGTCAACTGCACAAATTGTTTGTAGAGCGTGTGTGTTTGAACAATATGAAATCTGGGCATCTTAAAAAAAAGAACAGGATAACAGTGATGTTCAGGGAACAAGAGAGTTAACTTTGAACTGGCCGCCGGTGAGCCGGATGGAACAGAGCTATATTCCTCCTCTTTCATAAGCAAATAGGAGAAATATCACTGAATTCCTTTTCTCAGCAAGGAACACCCCTGAGAAAGAGAATGCACCCTGAGGGTAGGCCTATAAATGGCCCCTTTAGAAGGCGTACCGTCTTTTATGGTCGAAGCCAAAGGAATGAAATAAGCCCCGGTCTCCGGTAGCGCTCCCAGGCTTATTAGGACAAGGAAAATTCCCGCCTAATAAATTGTGGTCAGACAGGTTGTCTGCTCTCAAACCCTGTTTCCTGATACGATGTTATCAATGACAATGCGTGCCCGAAACTTCATTAGCAATTTTAATTTCACCTCATCCGGTGGTCCTGTGATCTTGCCCTGCCTCCATTTGCTTTGTGATATTTTATTACCTTGTGAAGTATGTGATCCTGTCTCTTATACACATCTAGATGTGTATAAGAGACAGATCCAGACCTGTTCCACCAATTATTACAATCTTCATGGCGGTGGTGGTGGTGCTTGAGGCCATGTCTGCACGGGAAAGGAAGCTGCAGTGGGTGCGCACTCGGGACTAAGGGAACGAAGTGGGCCAAAGAGCGGCAGCTGTTGAAAATATGTTTTTCTACCATTGTGTATGCTCTTTGGCTTACAGACCAAAGGATGCTAACTATATGGTCTTTAAGTAGGCTTCTTTCCAAAGGCACGGGTTTGCTTAGGAAGATGGTGGTTAAATTGAACTTTTGATTTACTCTTTATTTACATATTTGTGTGTGTGTGTGTACACCAATTTTCAGGAATAGGTTTATTACATATAGTCACAATCATATATCTCTCTATACATATATATATGCGCGCGTGTGTGTGTGTGTATGGCCATGTCTGCATGGGAAAGGAAGCTAAAGTGGGCATATATATACACACACACACCTATAGGTATATATACACACACATACATACACACATATATGATAATTTTTGTAACTAGATATTTGAAGGCCAATGTTCAGTCCAAGTATGTAGAACACCGGGTTACTTGAAAGACACCTTGTAGAATCATTTGACTTATTCTAGACTTGGGTGACTTAGGAACTGATGTTCTTATGTTTCCATCAGATTACTTGACAAATAATTAGAAGATCTAGGTTTTGGTTCCAAGTCTAACACTAACTGGCTATACAATCATGATAAAATGCTTAATATCTCAATTCTTTAACTTACTCATCTTTACAATGTACTAGATTTTTATGGCTACTTCTAACAGTTTATGATCTATACATTTGCTGAGACTCCCTTAACCTCTTGAAATCTTGAGCTCAGAAGTATTTGAAATCCAACAGTCTGTAAGTCCTTAGAAAAATGGCAATACTGAGCTAAAAAATACTAAATAAGTATGCAAGAATAGGTTTACTTACAGTCACAGTCTTAGCATCCATCTCGGTGAATATGAATTCTCCTCCTTCAAAGTCATCATTCATGTATAAGAGAGCACTAGAAGAACGAAGAGAAAACCATTTGTCTTATTATATGCTTATGATAGCATGGTCATAGAATACTGAAGACTGGTGATGTACTGTCCAGCCTCCATTAGTAAGTTTCCTTTGAACTAGACATTGATATAATTGGCCCTCCAAACTCTTAAAGAGAAGATCAGAGAGAATTTGGGTTATACCTCTGAAGAGGTTACTTATTCCACCTTTATTAAAATTGTAATCATATTTCAAAGCTTGTCTCATATTTCACCTCCTCCACAGAAAACCTAACTAGTTTTAATTTAATTTACTCTAGCCCTCTGAACCTGCCCACCTATTTACAACTCTTCTTCCCTTATATAACTCTAAAGGATGTTTTTTGTTTGTTTGTTTGTTTTGTTCTTGTTGTTGTTGTTTTTCTCCTTCACTTGCTGGAGAGTTCCTTGTGGCCCAGCCACGCCTTGCAGATAGCGGGCACTTAATAAATGTTTTGGAATAGAGTACAGTGTAGTAACGATGAACACATGGTGATTATAACTCCTGATTCATTACACACTGAAATATCTCTCAGTAGGTTAGGACATTCTTTTCTCCTGAGTTTCTAGTGTCTTATTTATAAAATGCAGACATCGTTCTTCTTGGGTGTGAATAGATACGTGATGTGATAAAGTCCTTATGTAGGCCAAGACTCCAAGCCCTTGTATTCTGACTGAAATACACATACCACAAGGAATATGTTCCAGGGAGAACAGGAATTTAAAAAAAAAAAAACATAAAATTTACTTTTAATATGAAAACAAAATGGACATTTTGTGAAATGGGATGCAAAATGTGCACAATTTTTAAGATAAAAGTGAGATGATAATGCCACTTATTGGTTATGGCAGCTGCTTCAGAAGATTATTTGAGAATTTCTGCCTCGGAGAAAGGAACACAACATCAAGCAAAACAGAGCACCTTTCCAGTTTTCATTGTTTGAAAACTGTTAGGTAAAAGCTTTGTTTTGAAGCAGGTTCCAGCTATACCTATAGTCTCGAAATGTGTAAGCAGGAGGCTCTTTCCAGCATTCGTTGGCCTCTGGATCCAACAAACAGTTGTCAGCGTGGATGGGATGACTGAGGTCATTTCTTCTATCCTGCTGACCTGCCAGAAAAGGGAATAGGGAAGAACAAGAAATGAAGTGCAGGAACTTCCACCAAAGTGACTGACAATCTGTCTTCTCCCAGTCCTGATGATCTTTGCAAATGGGGGGAGGCGGACACCAGGAAAGAACAGATAAAAGAACAGTGGACAAGTAGTTGAGTCTCTGGTCTGGTTCTGGTGTGAGGTGGATGTGAAACCTTGAGCATGTCACACCTGTCTTTTCAGCTATAAAAGTTATTTCTGATATAAACATACATGAACAAATTCCATGCATTTCATGGGTTGTACCTCATGTAGGGCAGCAAAACAATGGGGAGGAAGTGAAAAATTAAAAAAAAAAAAAAAAAAAGATTTAATTCAGCTAAAACTTCCCAAGTGTAAAAGTCTACTACTGTGACATCATTCTCCTCCCGCCGCCCCATTCACGGGGGCATAAGACATAGAGGAGAAATAATGTTGAGCAGGGACTGAGGAGGTCTCTGTCTTTTTAAGATTATTTCTTGCAATCATCCCTTCATCTTCTATGCTTCCACTTAATGCTGGTAGACATCATGGTGACTGTGATTTCCACGTTCCTGATTCCTCAAAATGGCAAACCTACAGCAGAAGAGCATTTTTCTTTTTTTCAAGACTTCAGCAATTGGGGAAAATTGATTTGGAAGGGAAAATGTTCAGAATGAGGGTTTTCTGGAACTTCAGAAAACCAAAATGAAGAAAAAGAGAGAAGCAAAATGAGAGTTCATAAGCTACTTTTGTTTTAGAAATCTAGAATTCATCTAAAATATTAATCTACCATGCTGTAGAGCTTTGTTTCACCTTGTTTCATTTCCCAATGTAATGTGGGTAAAAGGGAACCATTTCAGACTGGAATCTCACCAGACAGGGCTGTTCGGCAGACCATGTGTGTATAGGAAAAATACAGAGTTGAGTTCAGCATAAAATAAGATTCTACAATCCTTCGAGCCTTTTCACTGATGTCATAAAACAGACGAGCGCTCTTCAGTGGGACTCGACCTTCATAACCAGACTAAAAAAAAAAAACATGAGAAACAAATGGGTTCATTGGAGGATGTAAGAAAAACAGGCACTACATTGCATTGAGCCAACACAGAATTATCATGTCTGCACTGACTAATGGGAAGACTACTACATGTTTGTGGATTTCGGTTAGGACATTGTGCCATTGGAATAAACTTCGCAATAGCAGATGGAAAGCTAAAAGCTGCTTGGTTCCTCTTCTCTTCTATTATAATATGTTCTACTGTCCTCTCTAACAACCCTTCCTGCAGTAGAGAATAATTACTTGTTTGAATATGTTTTCACTTTTAGATCATGATCTTACAAAGAAGGCTTGTATATTTTTTGTCAGGAAATCTAAAGTTTGATAAGTTGATGGCTGAATGGAGGAATGATTAAATACAATGAAGGTTCCATTTCACACTTGCTTTCTTCAACTGTTCTGATAGGTACATATTTGAAACTTTTTTCTTTCCTATATCTGCCATTTACAGAAGCCTTAGGCTGACACTAAGGAATTCAAACCCAAAAGAAGTTAAGACTTTACTTTGAGTGCTTTCAGGACAGTTGCACCTTCAAACTTTTCATTGGGTGTATGGGGTGAAGTTTTTCCTCTGTATCCATCACCAACAAGCATGATTCCCTGGAAGCAAATACAAGAAGATACTTCATCAATGATAACTATGAATTCATTGGGTCATTTTCTGCTTTGGTTGCCAGAAAGCTGAGAACTCTAGTCAATGCTAAGAACCATCTCCATTTTATTCCAAGATGCTGGTAACTATTTCTTTTAATTAAAAGAGACATCTTTATTTAATCTTCATTCTACATTTTTATTATCAAATACTATCACCTTTTATGGAAATAAAAAAAAAATGTAAATTACTGATATATTGGCTAATTCTTAATTAAAATAAAAGGATTTATCCAGCAACTTTATATGATGGGCAAGGACCTTGCTAGATGGCTGTTGGCCTAGGAAATATGCCAGTAGCTATTCCAGATCCCACCTGGGAGAACTAAAATAATCCCAACCCGAAGGCTATAAAAGTTCCTCAAAAATAATTTATGTCTTTCTCCGAAAGAAAGCAATATCTCAGGGCTTTTTCCTCGGCTCCAGATGAGACCAGGACCAAAGCAGTTCCAGCTTCTTGGCAGACCAGTGCAGTGAGCTCCCCTCCTTCTCCCAGTCCTCACAGTGGCCACACTGTGGAGCTCCCGGCACTGTTCTTCCGACAGGACATTATCCAGGAGAACCCGCTGAGTCCCATTCAGCTGCTCTGAGTTGTAGACGAATGTGATGTTTTCATAGAGCAGAGGACCACCTAAAGGAACAGAGCACATCGTCTTCCCTGTTACCTCTGTCCCCAGAAAGGAAGCACAGAATACCAAATAGCTTTCAATGTGCAATTCGAGTGAGTTCGTTTCCTCATGAATATTTAGAAATGCAAAGACAAATTGCAAATTAGGGAGCTTGATAAACACAATATAGATTCAGGAGAAAGGCAGATGTCTGACTATTAGGTTTCCTCATAATATCATAATAATATTACATGTGTACATTATTTGGGGAGAGATAGAACTATTTTTGCGTTTGTTTCTAATGCTGATCCCAAAAAGTCAACTGGGCATCTCATGGGACTCTCTTCTGAGAAAGCCCACCCTTGTTCACAGTCCCTCATTCATACCTCTGTCACAACACCATAGAGTGCATGTTTGGGTCCCCAGGTATAACATGCACACCTCAGTTTCACTGGTGTCTAGAGCAACACCTTCACCAGGTAATTCAGGTAGTCACACCCAAGTCAGGAGTCACTTGACGACTCCTCAGTCTTCTTCCCACCACATAACTGACCCTAGGTTGTCTTGCTTTTGGAGTGTTTTTCTCTGTTCTCTAGGCAAAATCTTCATGTTTCTATTTCCGCACAGGAGGGTTTCCTTTAGGCACCTACTCTCTTCCCAGAGAGAGACCACAAGTTTATAACATTAGCTCCAGATAGGCTCTTCAGAGGGTGATGCTTTTGGATCACATTTTAGGTTGTGAAATTACAAAATCCAGACCTGACAAAGTCCTTCTCTCATAGAGTAGGACTGAAGGACAAAGCCTGTGATAGAGAGGAAATCTCCTGATGTAGCATAGTGCAGACATTTTGAACCAGAAAATCGAACAGAAAAGAAAACACTGCTTCTAACCATTTAGCATACTCCCAAGGGGCCTGATGCGTGCTTGTCCATAGCAACAGCTCAAGATAAGGACAGTAGGGGTAGGGAAGGCACAACTCCCTGCCACCCCAGGTCTAGCAAAGGTCACCAACACATTGGCCTAAAACACTTCTGTTGGAGGAAGAAGAGACAATTGAAATTGATGTCTACTTTATCTCTATAAAACAGATTAGTCAGCCTAGGGAAGAGCACGAGCTAAATGTTTATTAGTCTAGCTAGGATAAAAGACTCACTACAGCTCATGATTAATGGAATATTAAAAGAATGAGGCAGTGTTTCTCAATCTGGAATAATGTTCATTTATCTGTTAAAGCAAAAGTTCCCTAAGGAGCTCCAGTGCTGACAAATTATTTTTACTCTAATTTTACTTCTATATACGCAATCATAAAACTATGTACGCATTATTTATTTTAGTAGTTTCATACAGTACCCAAACCAATTTATAAGACTAAATAAAAGCAAGACCATAAAATGAACTAAATTCCAATCAATAAATGAAATGGTTAATGTTATTTTTCTGAAAATAAAAAGCTACTTTCCACATGAATATTCTACTCACTGATCTGGTCTGGGTTCTTTTGAGCCAGGATTCCTTATAGTACTGTTGGTGTGTAATTACTATTCTACCACAACGTTTCTCTAGTTAAACTACTACACAATCTTAATGTACCATGATTAATTTTGGCCTTTGTATCAGTCCATTTTCTTGCTGCTAATAAAGACACACCCAAGAGTGGGTAATTATAAAGAAAAAGAGGTTTAATGGACTCACAGTTCCACATCTGGGGAGACCTCACAATCATAGCGGAAGGCAAAGAAGGAGAAAGTCATGTCTCACATGGTGGCAGGCAAGAGAGCTTGTGCAGGGAAACTCCCGTTTATCAAACTTTCAGATCTGGTGAGACTTATTCACTACCAGGAGAACAAACCACCCCCATGATTCAATTATCTCCACCTGGCCCTGCAGTTGCCCTGTGGGGATTATTACAATTCAAGGTGAGATTTGGGTGGGGACACAGCCAAACCATATCAGCTTTCACCTGAGCCTAATACATTATTTATAAGTTCATTGTATTTCATTTATTTCTAGTCTTTAATCACTGAAGTGTTATTAATTGGTGTCAATATGACCATGACTGTGCCCACTGAACTATGGAATCCCAGGATACCACCTGGCTAGAAGTTGATCCCTTACGTAACCCCTAATTGCTTCTCTTAATTTTTGAAAATTGTGATCAAAATTTATAAATATGGAATTTTTGGAACCCGAGAATATATCCATAAGCCCCCTCTTTCAGTATCACATCTTTTAGTTGAATAGAAAAATATGCTTTGCTACAATTCACTATTTCTCAAATTTTGTTTCATTGAAAGTTCTGGGAAAGTACTGGGTTAAATAAAATATAAGAGGATGTCTCAGAACTTTTAATATGTGAACAGCCTTATTAATGTCCTAAACAGTGATATAATATGCAGCAGTTTTTAGCCTTAATTGAATACAACGCTCTCCCTCCCTGACTCCCCAACTTCCTTCCTGTAGCAGAGACTTTACGATGGACTGCAATGATCACTGCCTCCCGACATTCGTTCATACAGCTGTGCAATTTGCTTCCCACAAGTGCAAGTGGAACCTGGAACTTACTTCTAAGCAGAATATGACAAAAGTGATTAGGTGTCATTTCTGTGACTGTGTTACATAAGATTGCAACTTCTATCTTGCTAATAGACTCAGTCTCTTGCCTTCTCCGCTGGCAGGCTGTGAAGCAAGTGGTCATACTGGAGAGGATCACATAGCAAGAAATAGAGGGCATCCTCCAGCCAACAACCAACTAGGAACTAAAAGGCCATAGTCCAACAACTTTTTAGGAACTGAATTCTGTTATCTAACTTGGAAGAAGATCCTTCCCAGTCAAGCCTCAGAAGAGACCTCAGCCCTGGTCAACAGCTTGACTGAAACCGGTGAGAGAGCCTCCAGCCAAGGACACAGTTACATTCTCTGCAGACTCTTACCCCACAGAAACTATGAGATAATAAATGGATATTTTCATAAGCTGCTATATTTTTATTTTTTTCACAACAATAAAAAAGTAGTCTTTAAAAAATTTATTTGACAAGGTCTCACTGTCACTCAGGCTGGAGTGCAGTGGCACCATCATCATGGCTCACTGCAGCCTTGACCTCCTGTCCTCAAGTAATCCTCCCACCTCAGACTCCCAAGTAGCTGGAACTGCAGGCACATGCCACCATGCCTAGTTTTTTGTGTTTTTTTTTTGTTTGTTTGTTTTTGTTTTGTTTTCTTTTGTTTTGTTTTCAGGGTCTTGTTATGTTGCCCAAGCTGGTCTCCAACTCCTGGACTCAAGCCATCCTCCCTCCTCAGCTTCCCAAAGTGCTGGGATTAGAGGCATGAGCCACCACGCCCAGCCAAGTAGTCTTTTAAAAATCCCCCCAAAACATCTTAGCATGGAAGGCAATTTGGAAAAGGCTGCTCTAATCTATGTAGCTGATTAAGATTTGTAGTCAAATTGAGATAGGCCTTCCCGTGAATATTTGGAAAAGTGAACTGTATATTCCATTCCAATTTAGAAATATAAAAAGAAATGTTCCTTCAACAAGAAAGATGAGATACTCGTAGATTCACTGAAAAGCATTTGCTAATATAAAACTAAAATATAAATGAAAGACAGATGAGAGATCTAGTGAATTAAGTTGGTTTATACTTTGCCAAGTTTTTCTCTTTTTCTACATTGAAGGTGTATTATTTTAAACATAATTAGCTTATTTTCAAAATATTATTTTGAAAGTTAGCAAAACTAAAATATTTAGGAAAATGTCTATCAGTCTTAAGCTCCATTATGAGTATATATTATCATTACTATCATTATTGTTGAATTAACAGGCTACACTTGGAATACTGTAATAAGTTCTGACTGAGACACCTTAATAAGCATAGAGCCTTAAGAGAAGGCTACTGGGAAATAGACAATTCTCCTAGCATTTCATAAGTAACATGCAAAGATCAAGTGAAGGAAGAATGCAACATGGAGTCTTAAATATCTGAATTTTGGGTTCCAGGAGAATCTGCATTAGAAATCTGCCTTTCATGTAGCTAACGTAATCATTAATATTAGTAAGTATAGAATTTTACACAGATATTTCCCACATGTACATTTAACAAAAATGATCCCCTACCCATCCACTAACCAAAAGGAAAAAAAGATAAATGAAACCCTATCATTCAACAGACAAGTCAACCAGCCTACATATGACTAGTAGCACACCAGAGGAAAACATGAAAATAAAAATTAAAATGTAGTCCAATAAATTGTGGTTTCTGGGGCCTGATTTGATGGCTTCAGCCAATTCTTAACCACAGTCCAAGAAGATTTAGTCAAACAACTTAATTCTTCTCTCATTCATAAAGTATGTGCCTGGCTCTGACTCTCTGGTTGCAACAAAAAGGGATCATCTAAGAAAGTACTCCCTTGTACTCCCTGTCTGGCTCATGGCAAGAAGAATCACTTTATCAGAAATTCGATAGTGTCATACAAAGCATGATGGGATAGGCAGGCTAACAAGCCCTTATATGAATTCAGCCTTTCACAGTCTAACAAAAAAAAAAAAAAGGGCCAGACACGGTGGTTCACACCTGTAATCCTAGCACTTTGAGAGGCTGAGGCGGGCAGATTGCCTAAGCTCAGGAGTTCGAGACCAGCCTGGGCAACACAGTGAAACCCCATCTCTACTAAAATACAAAAAAAATTTGCCAGGCATGGTGGTACGTGCCTATAATCCCAGCTACTCAGGAGGCTGAGGCAGGAGAATCACTTTGACCCGGGATGCGGAGGTTGCAGTGAGCCAAGATCACCCCACTGCACTCCAGCTTGGGCAACAGAGCGAGGCTCTGACTCTTAAAAAAATAAATAAATAAATAAAAGAACTTTTTATATTCACCATCTTAAAACAGTTACTATCCTTCTTTCATAGATAAAAATCATAGGGCCCGGAGAAATAGAGTCACTAGATCTTCATCACTGTGGAGCATATCAGACTAAGATAATCCCAGAAACTAAGCTTCCCGATTCCAGGTTTATTCAACATTGTTTCTACTATCCCTCTACTGA